GGGGTGAAAACGAGACAATGGACGTGAAATACGAATTATATAAATCACTTATGACATATATTGTCTGATTCTTCGTTTCTCAGGTTAATCATTTCCCCACAACACGTTTTCACCGTATCGTGCATAAATTAACTTCGACCCTGTTGATTTGGGCTTTGTGTGGTAAAGGACGCAAAAGCTGACGAGTACCGATTTTGGACGGTCGAATCGCAGTGAAACGTACAACAGTCAGCTACACCTGACCTGAAACATACGATGAACGGTTGTGTGCTGCTGCGATTCAGCTGCGCATGATGTTTTCCATGTATAAACGGCACGAGCTGTCTGAATGCTCCAAAGTGTACTTTTGAACAAAAAGTCCACTGAAAATAATGCATCGAATGTGGTACAAGTTTCCCGTTCCCCAATGTTTTATCGGAAACGTTTTCAGAGGTCCATACAAATTGATCTCATGTGTGAAGGCAAGCAGCACAATTGAGACTCGTTGATTATTATTTCGATATTATGAGAATAATTGACTTTGTGATTAATTTTCATCACAAATGTGGAACCTCATCAATTCGCAACACAGAAAACTCTCTTTGACTCAATAGAATTTCGGTCAAATCCATAAAACAAAGTCTGGAAAAAAAACATTTATGACATCAGCAATGGTAAAATTCAGTTAAACTAAGGTAATGTTTTTTATATGACATGCCGCGTTGATGTGAATAAAAAGTCGATATTTATTGGCTAATATACACGGCAAAGTAAATATAGATGTATAAAGCGACCGAAAAAACTCGTGTAACATCCTAATTTTCATCACATTTGTTCCTATCAGTGTTTCGTTATTCCAGCCTCATTCACAGGATTGAATATGGTATCGCCCCACATCAGACACAACATATCTGATACAATACCAACTTTTGTCTTTGCTTCTATTAGCCACATGTACGATTTCGCGATTTTGTCGATGGTTGCTGGTGCATCAGTTGTGGAATAATAAAGTCACTGTAAAAAATGTAGCTGGAATTTATTTTTTAAAGTGATTATTAGACTTCGTACAGGTATTGTACATTCATCCCGTCCATGTTAAATTTGCCCTCTTTCATCTTCGACCACTGGAGGCAGTAGCTTTAGCATGGAGTCCACCAAATTGACTGACAAACAGAATTTGCTACTTTCCTCTAACACACTTCACACCTAACCACTGACGACCGATGTCGAGGCAGCTGACTTATCCTTCTTTCTGATACAGGGATAGGTTTTTGATTAAATTAAAAACAACTGCTGCGCGGTAATTGAATGAATTCGACACCGAACTTGACTCAACCAGACACTGCATAAATGTAGAAAAAAATTATATCCAATAAGGTCTAACCGTTTTGCACTAACAACCCCAAGCGAGAATATATATCAAACTTCATTAGTGCATTTAAAAAGTAGCAGTTACCAAAAGCCTCCCTTATCAATGCGAAACATTTTGCGATATCCAAATTAGTGTGTACAGGAGTCCAATAACAAGGCACGCAGCAATTACTTCCATTCCGATTCGTCAGGCGGGATAAATATTTACTTCTTTTGTAGGTTTAAATCGGGCTGATTAGCCGTTTTTTCAACTGCAGCTACTCGATATGAAGCCGATATGGAACGCCCAGCAAGACAGTGCACTTATTGATTTTATCGAATTGCGTCTCCCGTCCATTTAGCAATGGGTTTACCTCACTGGTGCCCAACGCGTAATTCAGCATGCAGTGAAAGCTAAACTACTGAGCTGGTTTTCTAATGAATTTTGTTTAAATCTACAAAAGAAGTAAATATTTATCCCGCCTGACGAATCGGAATGGAAGTAAT